TCATGGCTGGCCCTGTCCTTACACTTCCGGGAGTCACTGGTAGGCCTGCAGCTCAATTCCTCATAACCCTTGCAGGTGGCCGGCCCCTCCCCGGGTAGCACATCTTGCTTCAATCAAAACAGGGCTGGTTCAGAGAAAGAGCACAACAGGAAGGGACGAAATGCAAAGGGCTCTGGAGTGGGTCAGTGACATCATGGGACAAATACAGTTGACCACTTGGTCCCACTGGCATTTCCAGGTGAACACAAAGAAAAAGAGAGAGAGGGAAAGAGTATGAATCAAAGGATGTGGTTCTGAAGGGCAGGTCATGTCCTCCCTAGAGGCGGCTCGGGCTTCAGGCCCTCCTAGTCTCTCTGCGGCCCCAACATTCTCTTGAAAGATGTGGACAAAGAAAAATGGGCTCCAACAGAGAGTCATGAATTTGAGGAGAAAGTCAGGAAAGCCTCTATCCCAAACCACAGCTGGGCCCACATTTCTGGGGCTCCCTACTCCACAGAGAGTCAGTCCCTTGCCCCAGAGCTGGCCCTACTCTGTCTTTACAGCTTCTAGGACTGAACCCTGGCTGCCAGCCTCTGCTTGCATTTGCCCTGGGTCTGCCCCTCCGCCTCTGGTGTGAACGAGGGATCAGCAGGGCAGAAGGCCCTGGCCTCGTGGATGGACGCAGTGTCTCCACAGCCTAGCACCGCTTGGTTTTCAGAGCGGCACAGTGAGCCGGGCTCCAATGGCTGCTCCTTGTCTGCCTGATGCCATGATGGTGCCTTTGTCTGGGCACCGGGAACTATGATTTATGTCACAAGCTCTCTGGGAAACCTTGTGCCTCAGTAATTCTGAGCTCCGCGGGTGTCTCTTTACATCTATTTAAAGTACGGCTGCTGCTCACAGGGGCTGCCTGCTCTGTAGCATTCCAGGTGGCTTGGCTGTTGCCTGCCATGGTGCCCGTGTCTCGTCTGTGGACCATCTTTGCCACCAGTTTGTATATGCTTGTTGCGTACCCCTGTGGGGGTGCTGGGGCCAGTTAGGTGGGTAGATACCTTCCCGTGTGAAGCCGACAGGGAGCCTGAGTAGCGGGGGATGCTGCCTCTCCATCCCCGGGGTTTTGTCTGCTTATCCCTGGGTAAGGCTGGCCCATCACAGGCACATCTGGCATGGATTTGGTGTGGGTAAGTGCATCTCATCTGCAGGCTGTTCAGGAAAATGGGGTCACTTCTAGAAGTGCAAGGGTGTCTATGTGAAGAGGTCAGCACCTCGTGTCCAGAGGTTGGATGCAGACCTGTGTCCTGGAGCCAGCTGCCGGAGTCCCCTGCATTCATGCAACAAACCTGGACTGAAGGTCTGTATGTCCCTGCAGGGCAGGGCAGGCAATGTGATTTTCCTATTAAAATTTCTCAAGAACTATTCAGCTCCTTCCACACTGGTGTATAATCGACCAGAGAATCCTCATGACTGCCAGGGTCAAGTGCTTCCCATGACTTTGCTGTAGCATACTGCCCAACACATGCATGCTCAACCCCTAGTCCTGAGAAATGAACATATGACCACACCACATATGGCTGGCATGGCAGCATCTGGGCCCCGAAGACATGGAGGGGAGCACAGTGCTACGAGCTGCCTCTGTAGGTCAAGGTGGGGTGCTTGCTACCCCCAGAGGCCCATCCCCAGGGATAAGGCTGGGGGCGGGTTGCAGCTCAAACTCCAACATCTGAATGGGGGGGAGAGTCCCTCAAACTGAAATGACTAGTCATGGCATGTATGTGGAGGTCAGGGGACAACTTTCTTTCTTTCTTTCTTTTTTTCCGAGACAGGGTTTCTCCATATTGTTTTTGGAGGCTGTCCTGGAACTCACTCTGTAGACTAGGCTGGCCTCAAACTCACAGAGATCTGTCTGCCTCTGCCTCCTGAGTGCTGGGATTAAAGGCAGGGGACAACTTTCAAGAGTCAGTTCTCTCTTACAAGGTGAGTCCTGGGGACTAAACTCAAGTCATCAGATTTGGCATCAAGTACCTTTACGCACTGTTCCGCCTCACCCTCCACCCCTCTAATGGAAACCACTGTCTGTCATTTTCTGTTTGCATGTGAGGCCTCCTCCTCTTCCTCTTCCTCTTCCTCCTCCTCCTTTTTTCTGAGACATGGTTTCTCTGTGGCTTTGGAGGCTGTCCTGGAACTAGCTCTTGTAGACCAGGTGGCCTCAAACTCACAGAGATCCTCCTGCCTCTGACTCCTGAGTGCTGGGATTAAAGACGTGCACCACCACCGCCTGGCCCATTTTGCTTTCTTAATGCTTTGTGTGGTTCTATATGATGACAACGGAGCATCTGGGCTTCATGTGGACAGGATGTGAACTGAATGGCAGCACAAGTCTTGTGTCCGTGTCCCAGGTAGTTGAACAGGTCCTGGTGGGAATGGGGCGTGTTTGGGGTGTGAGTTATCCATGCAGAGATGTTCCAGAACACAAGAATGCTAGCACTTCCTTTGTAGAGCCCGCCATACAGAGTACCCCAGGGGAACAACTTGGGTGACAGTGTCAAGAGTTCATATGCTGTCTGATGGGGGGACACTAGGTGAGGCAAGCATTAGTTTCCACCCTTCTCCTTCACTCTGAATGTGCCCATATGCAAAGTCACTTGAGAGAAATGTGTGAATTTCACTATCTCAGAACACTGAAAACTGTTCCTTTGGATCATCTTTGGGTAACAGCTTCCCAGATGCTGGTTCAAAGCGTACCAGGCACATATACATGTTCACATAGTATGCATAGGTAGGTGTATATGAATGAGGTATCTTAGGAGAGGGAGGTGATTTTTAAAATGATATGAACCAAAATCTTATGACTTCCTTCAATGAGGTCTTTTGGGAAGACACTCTCTTCTAGCTAATACTTTGGGAATGTTATTTGTGTGTGTGTGTGTGTGTGTGTGTGTGTGTGTGTGTGGAAGATGGAGGTCAGCTTGGGTATCATTTGCTCAGGAGCTGTCCATCTTGTCCATCTTTTGAGACAGGGTCTTTTCCAGGAACCAGGGTGTGGATGTCAACTGACTACACCTGGAATCAACTAAAACCCAAGCTTCTGGGTACTGGTGTGAGACATTTTCCTAATCAGATTGTTTGAAGCAGGAAGATCCACCCTAAATCTGGACCACACCAGAACACATAAAGGGACACTGAAGAAGAAAGCCTTGGTTTCTGTATGCTGACAAGTTCATCCACCTGCTGCTGAGGCTGGTATTAAATCTGACTTCTTCAGGACTTGAAGACTCACAGCTCTCCAGGAATCCTGCAGGACTCCAGCACCAGATGGAAACTGCTGAGACATCCAGTCTTGTGCAATGAACAGCTACTAGCTTCTCGGTCTCTCTGTCTGGAGACAGTCATGGTTGGACCTCAGGCTCTCAGCCACTCTAATAAATACCCCCCTCTCTCTCTATATATATGTCTATATTCCATTATCTCTGTGTCTTTATCAGTTCTGTTCCTTTAGAACAGCATTTCTCAACATGGGGTTTGTGACCCTTGGGGTTGAACAACCCTTTCAGAGGGGTCACATATCCTGTGTATCACATATTTATATCATGATTCATAACAGCAGTTATGAAGTAGCAATGAAATAATTTTATGGTTGGGGGTCACCACAGAATGAGGAACTATATTAAAGGGTCGCAGCATGAGGAAGGTTGAGAACCCATGCTTTTGTGAACGCTGACTAATACATTGGGTCTGGGTGATTAGGCTCCACAGGCTGGTTGGTCTGCCTCTGCCTCCCCAGTGCTGGGATTGAAGGCAGGAGCCACCCAAGCTGGGCTTTTACAGGGATGGTAGGATCCAAACTTGGCTCCTCTTGCTTTGCTGAAAGCGTTTTACTGACCAAGCCATCTCCTCAGGCCCTGGACGTCCTTTTAACATTTTTTTTTTCTTTTCGTGATTTTTTATGGCATTTTCATGCATATACATCATTGAACTTCGTTCACATTTGCCTGGGGATTTTATTGTGGTAGAATTGTTTGCCTTTTTCCCTCAAGTGACAAGGTGAGCTGAACAAACTTTGCAAAGGTACAGCCAGGGCAAGGGGCCGAGGGCTCAACACAGGGGTGACCCGAACGGGGCACATTAGGTGAGTTTCACAGCAGGGGAGAGGAATTTGCCAAGGTGTAAAGTGCACTCATTAACAAGGCTCTGAGCTGGCAGATTAAACGCCAGCTGTGACAAGAGACTCATTTTCATCTTTTTGAAAATTACACCAAAAGACGGAGCTACTGAAAAACTCGGAGCTGGCGTTGTGATGGCATCGCGGAAGTAAGTGCTAGGCATCCCCAGGAGACTACCTCGAAAGGTGACATTCTGGACTATTTAGCAACAGTGCAGCCTCTTCATTTTTTCTTTTGCTAACCACGAGGAGAATTCTAAGTCCTTCTCCTCAAAGTGGGGTCCCAAGACTCGCAGCCGCCACCTCGCCCGGGAGTTTGAGAGAAATGCAGTCCCTCCCACGACACTGAGCACATGTCATGCAAGCTCGGGCAGGTCCAGCGACTGCATGGCCAAGCTCTCTCAGGGTGCCCTTACCTTGGGGAAGGCGTCGGGCCACACGGAGGGGGATCCGTGGTTGAGGAGAGCCTGAACCGTTCTCTGCGGCGCTGCCGGGGGCGCGCACGTGGTCGTTTGCAGCGCGCGCGCTAGCGGCGACGCGCCACCGTAGTCGAGCGCGCCCGCGTCGGCGCCGTGCCGCAGCAGGAGCGTGCACAGGCTGGGGCGCGCGCGGCCGCAGGCCTTGTGCAGCGGGCTGCGCTCGTCCTCATCGCGCGCGTCTGCCGCCGCGCCGCCGCGTAGCAGGAGCGCGCACAGGCGCAGGCAGCGCGCGTGTTCGTCGGGGCTCCGCGTCGCCGCTCCGCACGCTGCGCTCAAGGCCGTCTCGCCCCGGCCGTTCCTCGCGTCCACGCGCGCCCCGCTGCCCAGGTAGAGTCGGGCGTGCTCATCCAGGGCGTGCTGGGCCGCCACGTGCAGCGGTGTGTCCCGGCCGGGGCCGCACTCCAGCTGTACTGTCGCGCCATGCTCCAGCAGCGCCTGTGCGCACCTGCGGGCAGGCCAAACCGGTCACCACCGTGCATGACCAGCTGCGACCCGCCACCCACGGCGCACCGGGCACCATAGGTAAGCTCCTACCAAAGCCAGAACTTCGGAACTCTAGGGCCAAGGCCACCCACCGCGAAGAGACTAGACCTGAGACAAAACATAATGGCAAACACAGGGTCCCATCCTCACCGGTCATCAAATGAATAGGGACATTACATAAGCACCTGGTTTTACCAAATAGGGAAGGTAATGTCCACATGACAGTGATCAGGGCGCTGGTCACTCAGACTTCATCTGAACTCCGTCAAACCTGGAGGTTAAGGTCTAGGGAGAATCCTTTAGATCAGGCTGCCCCATCTTTCCAGTGCAAGGCAAACCTTGCATTGTCCCTGTCTGGGGTGGGCTTCATCCTTACTTCAGGGACACTGATTCAGACAGGTACCAGAGGCTTCGGCGTTGGACTCATCAGGCAGAGGCACACCCATGCCTACATATGGAGCTGTTTATTCTGATCTCTTCCCCCTTGACCCAACTGTACTCTTTGACTGTTCGCACATTTCCAGTCTCCTACGGTTTCTGAGTTCCATGGGAGATTGCTTCTTCCACAGAGGAGGAAGGATTCTGCTGCCTCTAAGCTAACCAACTGGATTCAAGACTGCCTTTGACCGCAGACACCTGTCATCTCACAGGAGACCGGCTTCCTGTTCCCTGGGAGCACTTCCCCACACCTCACCTTTGGCTGACGGCTGTTTGAACAATATTAGATCTGGCAGCCTAGCCCTCTGGTAGGGAATGCAGTCTGCCATTCTGAGAGGGGGAAGTAGCCACAGACCCTCCTCCAGTGTGCCCAGTTTGTCTCCTGGGGCTCTGAGTCTCTGGATAGTGCCATCTTTGTATAGTCCCACACTGAAGCTCCCAGCCCACTCAGTCTATTGGCAGAATTCTCCATCTCTGCCCTAGTGAGACTTGGCTCCGTGACTTCCTCCTTTCCGTTTGGTTTCCTTCCTCCAGCTGTGCCATGGTAACTGTCCTGTCTCCATTTCCCTCTGTTGAGGAGAGTATGGACATCCCCATCTTTTAACTGTCACCTGTCCCTCTCCAGCGGGCTGCTGAACTCTGCTGGGGGAGGCCAGACCCTCCTTGGAGACGGGCTCTGGTCTCAGCTCACCCATCTAGATCACACAGCTCCTTTAGCAATTCCAGTCCTAGCCTGTTTCCTTTGGGGACACATCATTACCCAATTCCTACCCTCCTGGACAGTGCCTTCTTTAGATAACCCAACATGCTACTGGAGATCACAGGTCACTGGACTCTGTTGGCCTCCACCCCTCTCCATCAATTCAGAAGTCTACCCCAGGTCCACTGGGACTGCTTTCAAGTTCTCCAACAGTGACACGTGTTCTGTGCCTGCTGGGATCAGTTTCCAAGTTGACTCCTTCTATTTCCCCCATGCCTGCCCCTTTCTGTCACCTAGATCCCCAAGGGAGGGCCTGTTTTTGCCCTCTAGTTGCCCTTTGGGGTTTCTGTATCCTCCTCTCCCCATCCCCCACTGTGACTAGACTCAGCCTGGCTGGTGACAATCACTTGCATACCCTCTTCTCACCACCCCCACTGTCACTGCCGGTTGAGTGCCCCCCTTTTTCTGGAGTATTCGGGACTCTCCTAACTTGTCCGATTTTGGCCTACCAAGCTCCACGCAACCCAGAAAGAATTCTTTGCGGTGTGATGAGTCAATGGATCCACACCTGCTTAGGGCCCTGCCTTGTCCCTGAGACACAGGTGCCACCTGGGCCAGCTCCCTGGAGGCTCACCTGCTTCCTTTGCCAAGGCTCTTCCTAGTGGGCTTCCCAATTCTCTGTCCAGCGATAGACCTTAGGATTATCCTGTGGTTGCCTTCCCTCATGCCCTTGTGGGCTTCCCGTCTCTCTGTCCAGTGATAGACCCTAGGATCATCCTGTGGTTGCTTTCCCTCATGCCCATGGGATTCACCCGCACGGCCTCCCTCTCCCCGTGCCTTCCCTTCCTCCTCCTGGTACCCCCAGGCTGAAGGGGTGCATCTCTGTATCGGCCTTTGCTTTGTGCTCAAGCAGGACATTCATCACAAAACCATATCAGTGCATTTCCAACGAGTGCCGGCGCCTTTGTCTCTCATCTTAAAACTGTTGGCTCCTTGTGTGTAGAAAGTGTCTGACTGTTGGGTGTAGTGCTGTGCCTAGCTCATTATCTGTATTCCCTGAAAGCCTGTTGAACAAATGCCTCTCGCTAACGACCGTCGTTCAGCTCTCTGTTGCATCGCTGCTGATTTTCCTATTATTTACTTAACTGGGGCTCTGATCCAGATCATCCATCCAGGCTTTGGGGGCTGACAGCCGCTGCCCTGGAATGCATTTCTATTTCTTCCTAGGGACTCTCAGGATTTTTAATTCTCCCTTTGTGTTTCTCTTGCCTCCGCATCAGCAGTATCATGAGAAGTGGTCTGTCTTGGGTGAAAGATCTTTATAAACAACTACAGTGTGATGTGAAGCATCCTTTGGGAAGAAGGTACCCAGCTAAGAACGGATGCAAATTTTACAATCAGAATGCTTCGCTTTGCTTCCTGCCTGGCTCTCTGGGAGGAATTTTGAACGGTGCAGCGGGAGGTTAGAAATCAAGGGCTCTGTCTCATTTTGTCACCGAGCCTCGAAAACATTACAAACATTTTTTTCCTACTTTTTTTTTTTAAGCGGCGCAGCCTCCAAAGAAAGATATTTACCAGGAAGAGTCCTTGGCCTGATGGGCTAATGACAGGTTGCTATTTGCTGCACAGGGACAGAATGGGGACACTGGTCTACACTCTGAAGGGTTGCAGATGCCCAGCTTTTCTGTTTTTAATGGAGAGCTTAATAGGCTAACCCTTGGTGCTTTATAATACTGGGCAGCGGCTGGAGATGCAGAGTCACAGGCTGGAGAGAGAAGCCACAGGACAAATTGACGGGGGCATGTCTCTCTCAGCATAGGTCAGGCGGTCATTAAAAATGAAGGCGTGCTAGTCTAGGTAATGACACACACAGATCTGCCCCATGGATGCATGGAACCATCAGTCCACAAAGCACACTGGCAGTACTGTCTTTCAAAGCCACTAGTAAAGAACATGTTTGAGGAAAGCCTGGGATTGTATAGGACAAAGTGGGGTTACCTCAGTAGGGGGCTGTGGTGATGAGGGCTTCGGTTTCTCCTCACTGACAAATTTTCAAAACTTCTAAGACAAGTTGGAATAACAGCCTGATGTAAGAACAACAGCTCATGTTGTCAGTCACAAAACTGCCACCCCACCAGCCCCAGCAACACTGGATTGTGAGAATGCCCCTCTTTCCAAGCTTCCAGAACACTCTGAAGGTTCCCACAGATGCCTATGACAGAAGCAGGAGTTTGGGAACGCAAGTGTGACAGGAGAAAGAGGAGGGCTGGTGGTGGCAAAGAGCAAGTGACAGTTTGGGGACTTTCTGTACCCCACCCCAGGACAAAAATGTGCCTTAAATAATTTATCATTTGCATGCCACATCTGTGGTTGTGGTGGTTTCCATGAAAAAAAAAAAAAAGGTCCCAGTTACACTTGTGCATTTGAACATTTGGCCCCTGGTAGGTGGGGCTGTTTTAGGAGAGGGAGCCTTGCTGGAGGAAGAATGCGCTGGCCGTGGGCTTTGAGGGTTCACAGATTCATTCACCCCATTTTCAGTTTTCTCGACTGGCTTCCTCCCTGTGGCTGAGATGTCATCTCCTGCTCCTGGCCCTGCTGCCATGCCCTGCCATCCTCACGATGTGGACCGCCCCCTCTATAGATCCATAAGTCTGTAAGTTGCCTTGATCACGGTGTTTTGTCACAGAAACGGCAAATCACTAATACAGTGGTCCAGTGCAAAAGCGTCACTCATGCCTTCAGAGGTCTGCGGGGAGCGCCACTGGGACTGAGCCCTGAACGCTGAGCTGGGACTTGGTAAAGGAGTTTCCTGCTAGCCTGGTAGACAGGCGAAGTCAAGAGCCAGGGTGTATGTTGGGGGTGCTGTCACCTGTTGTTCTCGGAACACTGACACCTCCTCACAAGGGCTAGGACACTGCCTGGTCTTGAAAGTGTCTAATACAAAGAACCTTGGACAGACACTCACCCCTCCCCCTTTGCCCTATCTCAGTCCTCATCCTCGTCCCTGACAATACTGCAGAGATAATGGCAGCTGCTCCAAGGTCTAGGGGACAGTAAAAGACAAAGTCACTTGACTGAAGGCAGGAATGACTAGAGCTAGGGCCACCACCCCACTGAGCGTTCCCCAGAGACCATGGCTGTTACTGCTCACCCTTGGCAGAAGGTCCAAGCCTTTCCCACATTCCACCTCTTCTTCACTCCCCCGTGCCCAGCCTGCCTGCCTGTCTGGCCTCCATGATTCCTGCACATTCCATTCAGGTGGCTCCAGATGGTCCTCATCTCTGCCTCGTGGTCACCTTGCTTCCACACAGCCCTTAAGTGGAATCCCTGCCCTTTGGTCCTAGGTTGGAGAGTCTATTGGCATCTTCAGCACCTTGTTTTTTTAAGTGTGTGTGTGTGTGTGTGTGTGTGTGTGTGTGTGTGTGTAAGCCAGAAGGGCAGGTGTCTTCCTCTACCACTTGTATCTGGAGACAGGTTCTCACTATAAATGCAGCTCACCTGTTGGCTGGCCAGTGAGCGGTGGTGATCTACCCATTTCTGTTGCTCCCAGCTCTGGGGTTACAGACAGAAGTCACCCCAGACTTCTATATGAGTGATGGGGAACTTAACTTGGTCCTGGTGCTTGTGGCACAGGCACCTTACCCACTACTCCACCTCCCCTGAACACTGAGTTTGAAAAATAATGTTGACGGGACCCATGCCCGATACTGCTCAGGTGGCCGCAAACCTGAGACCTGCTAGGCTATGGACTGGGGGGAAACCAAGTGCTGTTTGTTCTTCTAAAGAAATAAAGCAGCAATAAAATGACTCCTAATAGATCAGTGTGTTGCTCAGCCACCATCAGAGAGCATCCCCCCTGCAGTAGATGGGAACAGACAGAGAGACCCTCTGCTGGACAGTGCAGCGAGTGAGAGACCTTGGAGCAGCAGGTCCTAAATGGGATATCTCCATCAAACTTCTCCCTTCCAGGCTCAGGGAACTCTGTGGAAGAGAAGGCAGAAAGATTGTAGGAGCAGTGGGGATGGATGGCACCAAGGAAACAGTGCCTTCCGGACACAAGAGGACCGATGCACGATGAACTCACAGACAGTGGCAGCATGCAGAGAGCCTGGGCAGGTCCAAGCCGGACGGGGCGCCAGCACTGAGAAGTGAATATGATCTCCTGGCCAAGGAGCTACCTCAAACTAATATCTGCTTGCAAAGGAAAAATTACTTGTCTCCAGTGGAGTCTCACTGGGTATATAAACCGCACTTTAGGGCAGGTTCTATGCCCAGCAGTAGGTGCCAACTCAAAATGAGCTCAGTGGTATTTTGAGAAATTTTAATTTTTAATTTTTGTCTCATGATGATTTTTTCTGGGCATTAAAAGCCTTTCTGGTCTTTTGTATACATATTATGGTTTCTGATTTTGCATTTTTATGGGTTTTCTCTGTGGGCATGTGTCCCTGCCTGTGTATATACTCCATGTACTTTTTCTTTTTTTTCCCGTTTGTTTTATTCTATTCTGTTTATTTTTTATTTGCCCATTTTTTTCCTAAGGAGAAAGAGAAAAAGCTGTGGAATTGGATGGGTGGGGAGGTGGAAAGGATCTGGGAGGAGATGGAAGAGGGGAAAACATGATCAGAATATATTGTATGAAAAAGGTGTATTTTCAATAAAAAATTAATTGATTAATTCATTAAAAATACATGCCATGTTCTTTTAAGACAAGGAGATGTGTTTCTTGACACAGGGCATTGTGACAATTCCTGGGCTGATATTCTGAGTTGACCCTGAAGTCAAGGCGTGGGGAGGGACAGTCTGTGGCATCTGGCTGTGGGACAGGCACAGAGTTGCATCTTACTCAGTCCTTCCAGCAACCGTTCATGGTAGAGTCATCCTCCCTGGGGTGTGGCCTAAAGCACAGGAATAGGGGACATGATGGTGGCCCCTGGTCAGGGCAGGCAACTTGGGCACAAAAGCCAGCCACCATGGATACAGTGATTCTACTACTCCTAAACAAGTAATGTGACAAAAAAAAAAAAAAAGAGTACCAACAAGGGTAAATTCATGATCGAAACATGATGTTTTGTGGGAGATAAGGGGAGCAGACATTGTTGTTGAGCACTCAGTAATGCTGTTTGTGGGCAACTCTTGCTGGATGCCCCTTGAGTCGTTGGACGTTATTGGCATCCCTCTACATCACACAGTTGCCATGAGACCTCCTCTGACATGCAGACGGGCTTCATGATAAACATTGTGGCCAGAGGCATTGTGGTCTTTGAAGCTGGTCAAGTTGGATCACCGTTACTGCTGTGCCCCTTCTTGAAGTGAGTGAGCATGGAGGAAACCAGACTGCAGGCAGGGTCCCCGGGGGAAGAGTAGCCGAAGCTTCAAGCCTGGGTTCAGGCAGAAAGCACGGTCTGAAAGCTATGTGTGTGCCAGGTTTTGGGGGAGGGATTCTGAGGAGCAGACATGGAGAGGAAAATGCAGCTATGTCCTCCAATGAAACAGTTAGAGAAAGGTTACCTCCCACTGACCGAACTCCCAGCCAGCTTAGCATGAAGGGCATGAAGGACAGGAAGCCAAACCCATAGACTAATAGAAGAGCAGTTCCACCTAATTTCTCTGGACCTTCTGCCAAGGGTTTTTGTTATTTTGAGTTTGCTACCTGTCCTTTTCATTTTCCTTCCTCCCCCTTCTTCTGGCGATGCACAAGGGTACCCAGTAGAGAAGGTCAGAGTGGACAGAGCTTTCAAGGCAGAGGAAGCAGGAAGAACCTGTTTGGCTATTTGTAGCAGCACGGTATCTCTTGGAGCAATGGCTGCTGCTGCATTTTTCAGGTGTTGGATGGTTGCAGGGGGGATGGGGCCAACTGCTCCTAGGTTACACACGGACCTCCATGCCTTGGCAGATGGAGGCATAATCAAGCAGAGGGGGAAGGGGGAAAAATTAAAATTTGGCTGTTTTTACTTCTCTAGAGTTCCTTCTTCCAAAAGAGATTAACAGCAATTCTCCCTTCTCCCCCTGCCTTTTGCTACTCTCTGGGTCCCAATATACGGGGTGAAGAAGAGAACCAAAGGTATCAGGATGAGAGGTGAGACACAGGCAGGGCGGGGAGAAACTGATAATGACGAGACTGAAGAGTTCTGAGGTGAAAGTCACAGGCAGGGAAATGCATCGATCCCGCGACTGCACCTGAGTGGACTTGACGGAGGAACCCACGTGAATAGCTGCTGCCTCAAAGCGATGCCACTCCTGTTCCCAAGGACAGCCTCTTCCTTCTACCCAGTCTTCATGGCCATCGGCAGCTGCCATGCTGGCTTCTCTCACATTGTCTAATTTTGACTCTCTGAGAATCTGTCATGGTTTTGCGCCTGTCTTTGCCCCTACGTCACTTTGCACGAAAAATGAACACTTCCTGTTTTTACTGTAGAGTCATGCTCAATTGCACAGATACACCATGTTTTAAATACAAAGATGTTTGGGTGTCTTGACTTCCTGGTTACCCTGAGTAGGACTGCCATGGTCATTTTCGTATACATCTTCCTGTGGACATGAGCCTTCATTTTCCTTACCTAGAGCCAGAGCAGCGGGTAACAGGTGGGTCCATATTTAATGTTATAAGAAAATGGCAGTTTTCCAAAGAAATTATATTATTTTACACACCAGAAAAACCAGTGTAGGCAAGTTCTAGTCGCTTCACTTTCTCACCAACATTTGCCATCATCAGATTTTGTTTGTTTTGAGTTGTAATCAGCATGACATGTAGACTATTTTATTGTGGTTTTAATATGCATTTCCTGGACAACCACCGATGCTTAGTATCTTTTATGAAGTGTCTCCCAAGACTTTGGTCTAGAAGTAAGACCTGGTTTCTAGATGCTACTTGGGGAGTGTACTGCTTAGTTTTGCCAATTTGACACAAACTAGAGTAAGGCATCTGGAAAGGGAACCTCTTTTGCCTTCACCAGATTGGCCTGGAGGCAAGCCTACGGGAGACATCTTCTTATTCCATGATTGATGTGGCAGGGTCCAGTCTACCCCAGTACTGGGCTGTATAAGAAAGTAGGCCGAGCAAGCTATGAGAGAAAGCCAGTAAGCAGTGTTCCTCTGTAGTCTCTGCCTCAGTTCCTGCCTCTTGGTTCCTGCCTTGAGTTCCTGCTCTGACTTCCTTCAATGATGGACTATGATCTTTTATTTATTTATTTATTTATTCATTTTGGTTTTTACGAGACAGGGTTTCTCTGTATTGTTTTGGAGGCTGTCGGTCCAGCCCGGCCTCGAACTCACAGAGATCGGCCTGCCTCTGCCTCCCGAGTGCTGGGATTAAAGGCGTGCGCCACCACCGCCCGGCGGACTATGATCTTTTAAGCAGTGATTTAAGCTAAGGAAACCGGTTCCTCCTCAAGTTGGTTTTGGCCAGCATTGTATCACAGCCACAGAAAGCAAAGGGATACAGGGAGAATCAGAAAGCTGAGGACCCCTGCCTGTGATGCCCTTAAGGGGAAGCTCAGGCAGAGCCTGTGGTGGGTTCTGGTTGGATAATAACCATGGAGATGCGCAGAACAACTTTGGGGCACAGGCAGGATTCGAGGGGTTAGCACAGGAGAGGTTACTGTTGAGCTTTGCCCGCACAATGCTTGTTCGTCTTTGGGTGTCAGTGTTCTTGCTGTTGCCACACTGGCACAGCACCAGCCTTCTGTGCTTCAGTTTCCTAATCTTCATGGCCCTAAAAGACACGACTAGAAATAAAACACTTGCAAGCATTCAGGAAATGACAGAGTTCTCCAAACAGCAAGCCACCAAGTGGGGCACTCTGAGCCTGCTTGCTTAAGGCATCTTAAGGTGCCTTAAATTTATGGTAACTGAGACTTCCTGTCTACTCGGTGGGCACAGGAGTGGGCCTCGACTGGACGATGTATGGCGCCCACAAGATGTGGGCGGGGCTTCTGCTGCTAGGCAGGGGCTGTTGGTGCTGGAGTTCAGTATGAACCACTGTCCCCGCTGAAATCCTGAGCAGAGCCCCTTTGCCTGTTTGTTGTTTTGCTTCAGAGAAAGAGTGCAGCGGCTTCTTCATATGTGTTGGTCCCACAGCCGCAGATTGAAGCGATTGTGGGTTTCGAATACTTGAATGCCAATTGTATCTGCCCTGAGCACGTGCAGAGCGTCCCTAGCCATCATCACTAAACAATTGAGCACGCTGAGGGTTTACACAGCACTTACGTTGCATTAGGCATTCTAAGGGTCTGGAGGTGGTTTAAAATGTACTGGAGGATGTGGGTGGTTTTTGTTAAAATTTGAGGCTGTTCCATATATCAGACTTCACCATCCTCAGATTCTGGGTACCCATGGATATCCTGGCACCAACCCTGCATGGATACCGAAGAATGCCTGCATGCCATTTCCCTCCGCTCAGATAGTCCCACCTGCCGGGCTAGAGCTGGAGCAGAATTGCTTAATGATTTCCTTCAATGATTTCCTCAATCAGCTGCTTTCACAGGTCCAATTCTGACTTATGAATTACCTTTCACTTAGTTGAACAGACACATCTGGAACAGAAAAGCGAGCCAGCGTGCTTCTTCTTAATATATGTCACAGAGGAAGCAAGTCATCTTGACTTTGCTTCAATCAAGACATGGATAGCCAAGGACAAGAATCAGAACTCTGGAAGTCATCAATAAGGTTTTAATGGCTGCGAGTAAAAAGAAAAGGGTGACAGGGTCAAGGGGGGGACTCTGGTAACAAACAGGGCGAGGCTGGCATGCAGCCCGCAAGGTGGGGAACAGAGGGACTTTACTGGGATTTTTCTTTTTTGGAAAAAAGTCTCTTCAAACAACCAACAGATTAAAGGTCTCCTGTCCCTTTTCGTGTGCTGAAATTCCGAATTCTGAAGCTTGCTGGTTGGAAGGAAGCACAGATAACTTTTTTTTTAATTCCAAGAAGTCAGATACTCAAAGGTTTTCGAGTCTTGTGCCCATGGAGAATTGCTGACTGAAAGAGGATGGGGCAGAGCTGGGTCCCTTGGCATGGTGACCATTGTTAGGAGAGCAAGGGAATGAAATGGCTCCATATGTGGGTCAGCGACCTTCTCGATACTGTGAGGTTAAAAAAAACATTAAGGATGACCTACAATTGACTATGTATAAAAGATCTCGGAGAAAGTGGCTCTTCCTTGTCAAAGTGACAATGTTTATACTCCCTGAAGCCAGACCTCCTTAGAGTCCCACCTTTAGGAGGACTTTTTGGAGCGGAAAAGTCTGTTCTCATCCTCAATTCCTTTCTGATATCTATTAACTTTTTATCCTTGGAGATAGTGGGCTATGTTATTGTGGAGGTGTGCGATGGAATCTGACAGCATTTTCAGCTTGATCGTTGGCATTGGAGGGGCTCTAAGTCAGCTGTTTCATAGTTCTGCCTGAATTTCTGGTTTAGTCATCATTTAACTTAAACTTCCTCCCCTACCTCCCATGCCACAGATTTAAATGATACAAGACTTCCAAATTAAGTGGTCAAAGGGAAAGGTTCACACAGAGAGAAATGAAAGAGAAAGTGATCTGAACGAAGCAAGGTGACAGCAGAGGAAAAGAGATTTTAGCTAGCATCATTCTGTACTGAGACGTGTCCAGAGCCCATACGAAACAATGCCCTAGACCTGCGGTGGTGCTTAAAAACCAGATGGAACCAGGAAGCTACTTCTGTCTAATGTGAAAGTTGAGCAATGCTACTGGCAGGCATGAGGTCTTAGGCTCTCATGAACTAAATGCAAACCATTGGCTCATCATAAAGACTGCTCTCAGGGCTCACAGTGTTTTCTGCTCTGAGTAGGTCCTGTTTTCTCAGTTCGTAGTAAAATATTTTATTTTACTAAATAGTAAAAAAATGTATAAAAGTGTTTTAACACTTATTTCAGGTTCATAGGGGAGGTGTCGAGGCAAGGCAAAGAGCTCACAAACTCCCTTCAGCTAGTTCTCCCTCAAGTTAAGATCTTGAATTTTATGGGACAGATGTTACCATTAGGAAACTAACATTGGGTCAATCTGATGAACTAATGATAATAAAAATGATGGTTGGATTTGACTCTCTCACTTCATATCCATGTTCTGGGTCAGGATCCAATCTAGGGTATCATGCTGCATTCAAGCTCTCTAACTTTAATTCTGAGTAAGATACAAGTAAATAATACATGTGTACCCTTAGAGGTATGGGGTATGGTAAATACCATACATGGGATATCATTGAATGAATTATATTTTCTACTGGAACATGCTATACTTGGAGATTTTGTTCTTGACAAAGAACATTCCAGCAAACAAAAAGTCACAGATGACCAACAGATGTTTAGAGTAAGGGAAGAAACAATAAAACCCCAAATTAAATGGAAATAGAGCTTTAATCTCCATAAAACAAATATAGCAATTATAAAAATGACGCGAAGACTTGCTGAGAAGGTGGGTGGAACCATCCAGTAAGTGTGGACTTAAAATGAGGAAGTGAGTGGAAACAAAAGAGAAATCCATCCTCCCTCCTGAGGTGAGTAGCCTTATCCATAAAGTTCTGTCTCACTTCAGATCCGAAGCAATGGAGCCAGGTAACTGTGGACCAAAAACCTTTGACACCATGAGCCCAAATGAATCCTTCTTTCCCTAAATTGTTTATTTCAGATGTTTGTCATAGAGATGGAAGGTTCACTAAAACATATGAAGTCATGATTGTGAACACGTTTCTAAATTTGATAAGTACATATTGCTTAAAATGAGAAATAAATAGGAATTCATGAATCTGGATGGGGAGGATAGCAGATTTCTTACTGGAGAAATGCTGGTTATAAGGCAGTGGATCTGTGTGTCTAATGTGTAGGGAGGAGGAGGAAGAGAAGGAAGAAGACAGAAGAATAGGAGGAGTGGGAAAGAATAAATTGTTGGCTCAGAATTCCTTGCCAGCAAAGATGCCTTTCAAAAACTCAAAATAATCAACTGTTTTCAAAAGCAAACACAGAGAACGTTCAAAGGCAGCGGACTCTCAGCACAAGGACCATGGAAGAACGTAGGAGAAAAAGGAAAATGATAATAAAGTCCTGGATTTCCACAGAGCAGTGAAAAAGAAAGAGCACCCGCATAAGAAAAAGTAAAATCTTTTTTCTAATGTGTCATTTTTTCCATTTTAGTTTTTTAATGATTTATTTATTTATTATGTATATAGTGTTCTGCTTGCATATCAGAAGAGGATACGAGATCTCATCATAGATGGTTGTGAGCCACCATGTGGTTGCTGGGAATTGAACTCAGGACTTCTGGAAGATCAGTCAGTGCTCTTAACCTCTGAGCCATCTCTCCAGCCTGAAAAAGTAAAATCTTATTTTGTGTTGTATCAGCATATTTAGCAGATAATTTACTGTTACAAAATAATAGCAATGCATTGTGGGACTTAAATGTGTAAGTGAAGCACAGCGGACAAGAAGAAATAAATGGTTACATGCTGTTTGTTTTTACGAGACAGGGTTTCTCTGTATTGTTTTGGAGGCTGTCGGTCCAGCCGGGCCTCGAACTCACAGAGATCCGCCTGCCTCTGCCTCCCGAGTGCAGGCATTAAAGGCGTGCGCCACCACCGCCCGGTATGATTTTTTATAGTGTGCGTTAATATTGCTTGAGGTCAGACTAAGATGAAGTAAAAGTGTACAGGGCAAAACCCAAATGGAATCACTGCAATAACACACCAAAATCATATTTATTATGGTATGCCAAAATAAATATGAAAATGAAATGAAAACACCCAGTAGAGAAGACAGAAGAAGATACAGAGAATGAAGAATAGATTTGAGATTTAATTTGAGCTTGACTAGACCTAAAATTACACTAACTGTAAATGACTTAAACACCAAATTAAAAAGCAGAGGCTTATGGGACTGTATAAAACAAATCAAGATTCAATTATAGCTTGCCTATAAGAAACCCACTTAGAACATAAAGTTAAAAATTCAGCCTTTAGTCCCAACATTCATGAGGCAGAGGCAGGTGGATCTCTGAGTTTAAGGCCAGCCTAGTCTGTACATCAAATTCCAGGACAGCCAGGACTTCATAGAGAGACACTGTCTCAAATACAAAACAAAACTGAAACAAAATTATAGCTTCATAAGCTGGGCATGGTGGCATATGTACATTATCTCAGTACTTGGGAGATGGAAGCAAAAGAATCCAAAGGTCAAAGTTATTCTTGGCTACATAATGAACCTATGTCCAGCCAGGATGTGTGAGACTCTTTCTGCAAACAAAAAAAATCAACAGTTAAAGTTTGAAAGGCTGGTTCAACAGGCAGTCAACATCTATCTTTTTTTTTTTTTTTTTTTTACGAGACAGGGTTTCTCTGTATTGTTTTGGAGGCTGTCGGTCCAGCCTGGCCTCGAACTCACAGAGATCCGCCCGCCTCTGCCTCCCGAGTGCTGGTCAACATCTATCTTAACATTTCCTTTATTCTCTCTTGACCATGGATGGTACTTTTGGCTTTCTTCTAACAAATACTCCATGGAAAAAGATACAGGATTTTTTTTCCCCCGACAGTAGGTCAAGAAAATTGTGACTTCTTCCTTGCCAGAAGACTCTTTTGTCTTCTCAACTTGCATACTTTGACAAGACAAGTTACCACACTACAAAGGCAAAGCTTATGGCTTGATTGTTTGTGCATCTCCAAGATTTACTGTGAAATTCTATCCTCAGTGGAAAAGGATAGACTTTAGTGAGAGATTGGGTCTTAAGGTCTCTGTAGTCACAGGTAGAAATGATGCTTATAAAAGGCCTTGAGGAAAGTGAGCCCATTGCTCCCACCTCTTGTCCCTCATAAGCCACTTTGCAGCCGCAAAGTTCAATGCTGGAAGCAGATGGAGTCCTCACGAGACCTGCATCTGCCAGTGCCCTCATCTCGAATTCCTCAGCCTCAGAACTGGGGGAAATAAATATATATGATTGTCAACTATCCAATCTAAGACATTTTGTTGTAGCAGCAGGAATGAAGTGGCAAGGAACTGAATTCATCCACAGCCAGTGAGGAGTGGAGATCTCCCAACCCAAAAGACCTTAAGAAATCGAATTCTTCCTGTAACCTCTTGGGCTTGTCCACAGTTTTTCTTTAGTTGGTCATTCAGATGAGACCATGGGTCTTTTGTTGTCTACAGTGCCGTCTTTTGAGAGGTCTGGAAGAAGAAAGTCTGACAAAACAGTGGCCAAGTTCCTGGCTCCCAGCAATGATGAGGTAATAAATGCATTTTCAGAGAGTTAATTTTCATGTTATGCATGTGTCCATGTGAGTATCTGCGTGCTTGTCTGTCTTTGTACCACATTTATGCCTGGTGCCCTTGGAGGTGAGAAGAGGACATGGGGCCCTCTGGAACTGAAATTGAAGATAGTTAGGAGCCCCATGTGGGTTCTGTGAACTGAATGAGATTTCTCTGCAAGAGCAGTCAGTAGTGTTCTTAACTGCTGAGCCATCTCTGCAGCCTTTAAATGTGTTGTTTTTAGTCTGTTCATGCTAATTTGTTACACAGTAGTAATAGAACTGAGGAGATGTAAAATGCTAGTACTGGTCAAAAGAGAACCCTATTGTTAAAGTAACTATTTTAAATTATTTCCTTTTTCATTTTTTAATTTTTGAAATTAAAGTGTAATTATATAATTTCCCCATTCTCTGTCTTCCCTCCAATCACGTTCATGTATCCACTTCTATGCTGTCTCTCAAATTTAAATTCATGGCTTCTTTTTCTTTAATTGTTGTTTTATGGTGTATGTGTGTGTGTGTGTGTGTGTGAGAGAGAGTGAGAGAGTCTAAATATATAAATATAACTTACTCAGTCTATATAATATTACTTGTATTATATAATTTCAGGTTCAGCCACTTGGTATTGAATAACCACTGGGAGGATCTCCCCTAGGGAAGACTATTTTTCCTGTTCTCAACATTGTAAAGTAGCTATTCTTGGCCTGAAGAGCCGGCTCAGTAGTTAAGAGCACTGACTGCTCCTCCAGAGCTCCCTAGTTCAGTCCCCAGCAACCACATGGTGGCTCACAACCATCTTTAGTGGAATCTGATGCCCTCTTCTGGCATAAAGTCATACATGCAGATAGAACTCTCATACATAAAATAAAGTAGCTAGTTTTTAATATCAGACAAGATAGACTACAGACCAAAAGAGACCACCAAAGATTAAGAATGCCATTTCATTGGATCTAGAGAGATGGCTCAGTGGTTAAGAGCACAGACTCCTCTTTCGGAGGACCCAGGGTAAATTTCCAGCAGCCACATAGTGGCTCACAACCTATGTAGGTCCAGTCCCACGGGATCCAATGCCTCTTTCTGGCCTCTGTGGGCATGGCACTCATGCAGCACACAGGCATACAGTCAGGCACACAGTCATCACATGTCTTCAACAGGGAGAAGGTGAGCCGAGAACACGGAAGTACTGACAGGCCTGGGGAGCTTGATGCTATTGGCTTTCCTAGGGTGCTGCATCCCACAACTGCCAAAGGCTGATTAATCTTTAAAAGGTATGAAATAAGTCTCGATGAATTTATAAAGTCATGCAAAGTAAAATTTTCAAACACCTTTGATTAAGTTGCGAGACAGAGGCAGGTGGATCTTGTGAGTATAAGGTCAGTGTATTCTTCCTAGAGAGTTTCTGCTCAGCCAGGGCTTTAGTGAAATAAAAGTAAAGATAGTAGCTGGGAGGACATGCAGCCCTGAAAGACTGCATTTGGAAATAGTATTCAAACCGATAACAGCATACATTTAAGAAATTTAAAAAGATCAACAAACAAAACTCAATGCAAGAAAGAAAGAAAAGTGGAAAATTAAATAGAGAGGGGACATAAAAATAAAACAGAAGATTAATAAAATCAGAAAAACCTCATGGGGTCAGGTAAACGCTAACATCATGAATGAGAGCAGGTCAATGAAATCAGAAAACAAAACTGATGGGTGGAACACACCACAGTGCCATGAAGGACAGATGTAATATGACAGAATTCACAGCCAGTAAGAGAAAAGTCAGGGTCAACTTCATTCTAACGAATTAGACAACTTAGCTGAAAGTGACAAATCTCTGTGGAATCTTACTCAAGAAGAGAAACAACCTGTCTCTATTTAGGAAAGAACTTGAGTTCGTAGTTAGAAACCTCTTGCTAAGAAAACACCACATCCAGATAGCTTTGGTGGGGAACTGCAACAAACAACTGAGACACTTTAAGATCTAGAAAATAGAAGAGAGAGAAAAGAGAGAGGAGAAGGGACTGCTTCTTAGTTCATTATTAAGATTGTATCACACTGATGCTCAATTCAGACAAAGATGGTGTAAGACAACCGTAGTCTAATATCTCTCATGAAAATAAATATAGACATTAAAAACATCACAGCAAATGAAAACCAATTACCTATCTATCATCTATCTCTGCATCCATCTATCTACCTCTCTATCCATCGATCCAACTGTCTATCCATCCACCCATGCATCCATCTATTATCTATCTGTCATCTATATATCTATCCACCCGTCCATTTCGTCTATCTATCTATCTATCTATCTATCTATCTATCTATCTATCTATCTATCTGCATATAATAATCCATGAGGGTAGTTAATAATCCCAGGAATGCAAGGTTGTCCCTATATAATACACATTTCAACAAGCTAGGAATAGAAAGGAGTGCTTTGTCTTTTAAAAAGGCAATCTATAGAACTTCTTAATGGTGAAAAGACATTCAATGTTGTGCTCTAAGGTAAAGGAACAAGGAAAAGCGACTCTTCAACATTTCTCTTCAGAACTGCACTGCAGGTTCTAGTCAGTGAAATAAGTATGAGAAAGAGGATTTAGATTGCAAAGGAAGCAGAACTAAACTTGTTTGCAGAAGATATAATTATCTGCCTGGAAATTCCCTGAAACTTATAAAAAGCCTTTAGAGAAACCAGTGAGTCCATTGAGGCAGAAGGCTACAAAGTCACCACACAAAAACCTACCAGTTTCGTATGGTAGCTGCACAAAATCTTGGAGGACCCTTCTAAGTAGTATTTCATGCTGTGGAATACTAGTCAGCATGAAAAAGGAATGGTCTATGGGCTGTACACAATAACAGTATGGGTGTGCTTTAGAGTAAATACGCTGAGGAAAAGAAGCCAGAGGGACCCCTGCTGGAACATTTTGATATCCATATGGAAAAGCAAAGACACACACACACACACACACACACTCACACACACACTCACACACACACACACACCCTAGTCACTTTGATCTCTCCTCACAACATATGCAGAAGTGAATTCAAAGTGGGTCATAGATTTTTTTGGATCATCTCAGTCTTGGCATGTGACAGCAGGTCCCACAGTGCTGTGAGACAGAAGAAAGGAGACAGGGGACAAGCAGCTTTGCATCTGTACACAATTGCTGGGGACCTATGAAGTGAACTGTGTCCTTAGAGGTAGTTGGGTCAGAAACAGGACCGTTGTGAGTTCACGACAGTGGGAATTGACCCAGTTTACGTTAAGCTGATAGCAAAGAGCCAGGCACACTTTCTGTAGTCAGGTTCTGAGTGCAGAACCTCTCACACCGTTAGCATACTTTTGTTTATTCAGTTTCCTGAGAAACTGCAGGACAAAGTATCTGGGGTTACCTTGGCCTCAAAGTTATAACTCGAGGCGGTTGCAGTCTGGGCAAGATGAATCCAGATTCTAATGGAGGACTGTAAGATTTGTTTGTAGACAAGAATGTAGAAAACCTTGTGGGCTTGAGTCAGTCAAAGAAGTTAGATAAAATAGCCCAACACATATCCTAAAACAGTAAATTGACAATGTGAACTTTGTGGAAAAGAAGAACTTCTGTTCTTCACAGACATTAAGAGAAGACAATAGAAGGTAGAGTCTGGGAGATGGTGCTTGCCAGTCAATCTCTAAGTTAGCACAGAAAAAAAAAGCTGACTTGAACATCTGGGCAAAGGATCTGAACAGACAGCCCACCTGAGAAGAAATACGGATGGCAGGAAAGTATGGGTTAAGCATCCGTGAGTAAGTTCAGTATAATTGGGAAATAATATAATCGGGGAAATGCAAATTGAAGCCATGGTGGTTTTACTTCTTTGTGTCTGTATGCATGTCTGCAATTCAAATGCCTGTGCTGCCAAAGGGAATGTCAATGTATAACAAACTTTGCAAACCGTAGTGGTAGTGGTGGTAACTTTAGAGTTCCCTTCTTAATCTCATGGGACAGGTTAGTTATTACAATCCTAGGGTTACACAAAGTGATAAAAGCTTACAAAAGAGCACAAAGTTCAGGGATATTTGATTTGTAACAGGCCCCAAGTTGGAAACAATTAAATGTCTTTCATCATCGCCTTCACCACCGCCACCACCACCATTTTGCAGTAACTAGGGATTGAACTCAGAGTCTCACGAATGCCAGTGAAATGCCTTACCCACCATCTCCCGGGGGTTCAAACATCTTTCAGTTAGGAATGGATAAAACACTGTGGTACATTTACACCGTAGAATACTTCTTAGCACGAATAGGGAATGAGCTATGGGATACCCCCGGCAGCATGGATGTATCCCAGAAGAATTATGTTGAGGGTAAGAAGCTAGATATATATATATTAATATGAAAATTTAGAAGTTGTTGGACTTTTTAAGCATGTGTGACTTACTGATTCCTTCACGGGGTGGACCTTGGGCCTCTAGCATCCCCCACTCTGGACCCGGTGCCTAACATCTCTGCTTGTTTGCTGCACTCACCTCTAGGGCCAGAAGAACCCCATAACTTTGGGCTGATGGGGAGTAGCGGACCCCAGCAAGATCCAAGTACGAAGTGGAGTGATTTTATGTCATCATCACTACAGAGAAAGCAGCCAAGCAATAATAACGCCAAGAGCAGGGACTAGAACATTCGAAAAGATGTTGGGACGACACAATGCTGGCAGGAAAACCCAAAGCAGCTCCAACCAAGGTCGCGAGTGGGGGTTGGAGGGCTTTACTCTGCTCGGCCCCAGGCAGAGCAACCCGGGCGGGTGGAGTCCTTGCGGGCCTCGGAAGCCCCCGCCCGAGGAGCTAACCATTTATGTCACACTGTGACAATTATTCTGCATAAAATTATCATTAAAAACCCTAATTTTTCAGCTTCCAACGCCGCCAGTGGCCTTTTAGCATTCTTCAGCGCCGCGTCTGCAGGCCATGATCAGAGGCTCATTACCGCCGCGTGGCGCCCCGCGCGCTCGCAATCAAGCGCTAATTAACCCGCCCGGGGCCGCGCCGGCGGGGCGGGGTCGGGGACGGTCCAGCGGCCCGTGGGGCGGGGTTCATGGCCTAGGGACTGTCCCAGCCTGGGCCCTAAAGATCCCAGCCTGGAGCAGTGTGTCAGGATCACTGGTCTGGGATTTAGTGTCAGAATCTCAAGCCTGGGAACGAGGGTCAGGGTCTCTGATGTGGGGAGTAGGCTTAGGGTCCTGGGTCTGGAGACTAGGGACAGACCTGGGGACTAGAGTCACAATCCCATGTTTGGGGACTAGGGCACATAGATAGATCCTGGCCTGGGAACCAGATTTAGAAAATCTCTAGCTTGGGGACTAGGGATAGAGAGGTACTCGGCCTGGTAAGTGGAGTCAGGGGCCGGGGAAAGAAGCAAGTATGGACCCGAGTTTGGAAACATGTAGCCAAAGGCCAGACTTGGATCTAGGCCTCAGATCCTCCCCCCTTCGCTCCCCCTCGCCCCCCCGACACACACACACACACACACACACACACACACACACACACACACACACACACACAGTCTGGGTCCTCGGACCAGTTGGTGGTGCGGGCACGTCTTACCCCAGGGAGTCGGGTGTGCGACACAGGTGCAGGGGTGCCAGGCCCTCCGCGCTGAGCAGATCTGGGTCTGCCCCGTGCTGCAGCAGCAACCGGGTGCAGGCAGTATGGCCCCCGAGACAGGCCTCGTGTAGGGCAGCACGGCCTCCGGGACTGGCATCCGGATCAGCGCTGCGACCGAGAAGGTGTTGCACGCAGAACACGTGGCCATGCGCCGCAGCGATGCACAGAGGTGTGGTGAGCTCCCGCTTGTACTCCAGGGTCCAGAGGCCTGGGAGGACAGGGGATTGGGTAAGACTGGGATAGCTGGAAGGACCGCTGGGGCGGAATGCACTTTGCTAAGGCTGGAGGATGAAACCGCTTCTTAGAGGTAAGTATCAAGTGGGCATGTGCGAGAGTCACTTGAGAGAGCAGCTAGAGACGGATACCCCAGACAGAGCGGGGAGAGACACAAGAGTGGAAGACAGGATCCATGGAGGAAGAAGAGATAGGGCTGGCAGGGCTACCACTGAGATTACTGAGAGATAAGGGGGATTTCCCAGATGTGGGCGACTGGAAATCTAGTAAGATTTAGGGTTAAAGGCTGGTCTAGGAGGAAGGATGGAATGGCATAGGATGCATATGCGTGTGTGTATGTATGCACATATGTATGTTTGCATGCAACCCCACTGCAGAAGGTCTCTCTTCTAGTTTCTGAATTGGGGGTAGCTTGAGAGAAGAGTGGGCAGTGGAATTTTCCAGAATCTAACCTTCTGCCTCCTGCCCCTTCATCATCAAAAGGAAACACACAAAACAAACCCCATCATCAGGGTTTTCTGTAGAAAGGATGAGAGAAGAAGTTGAGCTCTTGGTAGTGGCTGCTGTAGAAGGTTGCTTTCATTAGACTGTCCACAGTATACACAATTCTGGTGTGGTGTGTGTGTGTGTGTGTCTGTGTGTGTGTGTCTGTGTGTGTGTCTGTGTGTGTGTGTGTCTGTGTGTGTGTGTCTGTGTGTGTGCGTGCGTGTAGGGCTGTTCCTTCTTGATGGATGAACGAGCAGATGCTCTGTGTTTGGCTTCTCTGAACACTTCTCTGCTTTCATAAAGCTGGGGCAAGCTTGTTAGTGGCCAGGAGCACCCCTGGGAGGGGGGAGGGGCCCCCTGTGAATAGCATCAAGGGACCGACACTCACATAGCAGGAAGGCTTTCTGTAATGATGGAAGAATCGATAAGGTGGCTGTAATGAGCAGTACAGGAGACCCTTTTTGAGACCACCTCCTTCCTGGGACACATGCTGGGCTGTTTTGAAAGCCCACGCTCATTAATTACCTACCTGCATGTGGCTGAGAATCCCAGCCTGCTGCTTGGCCCAAAGGCCCAGCCTTGAGCTTGCTGTTTGCTCAGTGAGGAAATGGGGGTGGGGGGTCCTTTCATCACTGGTGTGGAGATACAGTAGTCAGAGGCTCAGGGATTGTGTGTGTGGGGTGCCTCCTGGCTTTGGACTCTTTTCCAGGGAAGACAGTGTGATTACAGGGATGGGGTGGGTTTTCCTTGAGGAGAGCAGGCCCTTGCTTTGGTGCATTTTCCAGTATGCAGAGTCTACTCACTTTTCCAGAGTCTTTAAGTTCCCAGCCTACTCTGCTGCCTCCCCCAACCCCACTCTGTGTGCCCACCTAGAGGAGCCAAGACTCCCTAGGTCCTGGGCTTTACTGATAAGGTTCCTTCACTCTAACAAGAAGACTTAACTTCTGGGTCCAGGAGATTGTGAAAGTGGTTGCTATGAAAATCCAAGGATTTGGGTTTGATCTCCAGGACCTACATACAAAATCTGGGTGTGGAGGCTCAGGCTTGCAATTCCAGTGCTGGGAGATGAAGACAGGAAGACACTTGGGCCCATGGATCCCACAGCTCAACCTAATTGACAAGCCTCAGGCCAGTGAGCAACTCTGTCTCAGGAATCAATGTTCCCAGGGGCTGTTTCTTGATGGAGGATGTTCTTCTGTATATAAGTTTCTTTCATTGGTTGATGAATAAAACACTGACTGGTCAGGCAGAAAGATAGGTGGGATGGGGAGATGAGAATTCTGGGAAAGGTAGGCGGAAGAAGACCGTGAAACAGTCTCCATGTAGGCCGCCAAAGGAATAACAGATCCACACCCTTCTCCCGTGAGATAAGACCATGTGGAAATGCTTAGACTAATAGAAATGGGTTACTAATAAGACAGAGCTAGCCAATAAGAAGCTCTAGTTATCAACACACATAGTTAATATAGTGTCTGCGTGTTCATTTGGGACCCAAACGGCCGCGGGAAGCTCCAGCTCCAGTTTCTGCTCTGGGGAGTCAAGGGGCTGGGCAAAAGAGCAGGGAGTCCAAGTAGCCCTGAGCCCCTGCTTTCCTGGTCCTCAATGAGCTCGGGCTGACAAACTGGACTGACACTTCCCTGGTCCTCTGTTGTCACCATAGTGTAGTGTCCTACGCTGCAGATGTGTTCTAGAAAGGCCGTGGAATATAGGGGTCAGAAGACTATAGGGGAAAAATGGGCTAAACTAGCACCCCCCAGGACAGGGGAGGGGCTTGCCATTTGAGCACACGTGAGTCCAGGGTCGGGTAGCCGGTGATTTGAAAAGTAAACATGGCTTAACACTGAAGCAGCTGACATTCTTGATCGGAGGCAGGTGAAGGGGGACTGCCCGGTAAGATCACGCCAGGAAGCGGTGCAGTTCAGACTAGGGATGACACCATCCAGGCAGCAGGCCTCAGGCTTGCTACAAACTGCATAACTCTTGGGCAGTGTTTTGGGTTCACCCCCCCTTCTCGTGTGAGGTACAGAACCACCTTTCCACATTCTTAGCCTGTTAGAGCTCCCAGGCTAGGACTTGTGTCTGGCCACAGTCTCCCAACACAGATCCTCAAATTCCCACAGTCTGGCAGAACTGTGGTGGATTTCAACACAGCAGGGCTTGGCAGTTCAGCGTCTATTACAGCCTACCAGCCCCAAATCCTGGGTCACATCCGAGTGACAGGAGTGTGCCCTGATGTCCAACACAGGGGTCTAAGGATTATTTCCCTTTCTTCCTTGTTTTCAGGTTTCTCTAGGTTCCAAGAGCAGGGTCTGCTGGGAAACTAGTGTTCTTTCCCCCCTATTAACGCTGTTTGGACTTTAGGGTGCCACTCACACTGCCAAATTGCAGTGGGGTTCAGTGATTTGTAGAAGAACCCCACACAGAGCTTCGTGTTAGAGGTCTGTGTAGTCTTCTGTAGCTCCCTCAGCTGCCAGTATCAACAGCTAAACTAAGGCTTTGCTTTCAAGGCAAGAGACACACCCAACATCACTAGATGGGTACTTCTCACCCATCATTTTTCCTTTTCATAGCGTGTCACCCACCACACCAGGTTTTGGTTAAGGATGCTCTGGAAGGACTGAGTCTGTGTACTCAACCTTCACACAGGATGCACACGTCTCCAGCATGTTAGTGGAAGCTTAAAGAGGCACAACTGAGCTTTGGAGGAACCAGGGTACCTGAGATCCCAAAGGTGGCCAAGGATGTCATCTGCCATTCCATCTCTCCGCTACTGATCTCAAACACCACGTTGGCATCCTGGAAGAACTTGTCCATAAGGGATCGAATATGGTCCAGGTCTCCTGCGACCAATGCAGCATGGAACTCAAGCTCCGGGGACCCAGCTCTAACCTGAGGCTCTTTGCTCATCTTCTGGAAGATCTGTAGTTTTCTTCCTACCGGCTCTGGTTGTCTCTCCATTGCAGAGCAACTGATTTCAGAATGAGTTCTTTAGCAGAGGAAGATGGCCTTATGGAGAGTGGGCTATTTCTATTGTCATTACTCAATTGTTCTCCAGTTGGAGCTCCATGGCAGTGTATTTATAACTCCTGTGGGCTCTGATGTGATAATGGTTACTTGATATGCCCAGGGTCATGTGACCACCGAGATGTCACCTCGCTCACTCACCCCTGTGGTTGTATAGATGCTAACCCCAAAGGGGGGAAATGCTTCTGCTTGTCTTGCCGCTGCTCCGCACACATCGAGTCAAAGACAGACTCCAGCCACATGCATTTAACCTGACAGACCGATGGAGCATTTCTCTTATTCACAGTTTGGTCGGGTGAGCCCAGACTTACACAACATTGATGTTACTTGTTTGTGCAGCTTAAATGCCTAGTTTGTAAATGTGGCCTCAGTGACCAAAATGCTTAACAGATAAATAATACTCTCTCAGATTAAAAGGAAACAATACCATATGTAGAAGTGGTAAATAAAGGTCTGAAGTTCAGAGGAAAGACACAGGAGGCTCTGGGTGCGTGCCTGCTGCTACTTTAGGATT